GATCACTGCACAATCACTAGAGAGGAGGAGTGGTATTTGAGGGATGAGATAAGAAGAATGCTAACCCTTCAAGCAATGTTCTACACAATGGAGAACGGTCCCATCATAATATCAACTGGGTCCATTAGGAACACTTTGGTGATGAATATCTACACATTGGCTGAATATCCAAAAGGCAGCACTGACAGGTCACAGGCAGTGACCGACAATCCCTCCTCAGTCTAAAGGGGCTCTGCACAACCTTACTGGGGGCAGTGGCGCACACCTATGGTTCTAGCTACTTGGGAGGCTGAGGCAGGAGGATTACTTAAGTCCAGAAGTTCAGGGTAGCCTAGGCAACATGGCAAGACCCTGTATCAAAACAACAAAAACAACAACAACAAAAACAAACCCCCAAAAGGGCTCTGCACATAGGAGAAAGCACGTGGGAAGCAGCCTCACCTTCAGATGGTAGATGTGCTCCTCTGTGTCAAGATCGATGCACTTGGATGACTTCTTTACAGACATCACCGAGAGCCCCACATCAATACAGCCATGCAGCTTTTCTCTTTCTATCTACAGACCATGAAAAGGGTCACTTGAGAATCACGGTATTATAAGTAACAGTCACTTTCCCCACTCTCCCCACCCCTCCCCTCCCCTCCCGCTTCCACTAACACAGACACTACCACTGCTGGAGCACGTGTGTGACCAACACTGAGTTCGGCACTGTGCACACGATGTCTTCTTCACTCTGTGAGGTAGGAGGCACTCTCCATGCTTCACAGAGGAGGAGACTGAGGTGCAGAGAGGTTCAGTGACAAGTAGTTTTCACAGCCGGTATGGGAGGAAATAAGGAACCAAATCCCATGGCTTGACTCCCAGGACAAGGAATGAACCTGTTTGCTGCACTGGCTCCTGCTGAATTAATGTCTGGTGTCCACGTTCATTTATAAGGGACTTAAAAGGAAGAGGATGGACAGGAGGCTAAAGGAGGCTAGGAGGGGAGGAATGGCAGAGAGAAGGACTCTCCAGGGGCAGGCCTACTGGCCATTTAGAGCCCTTACGCGGTGACTGCCTAGTGTTACCTCCAAGAGGAACATCTTGTTGGCCAGGGCCTTTTCTGCCAAGACCCTCAGTCACTATAAAGAGTGGGAATGCCAATCGTATTAGTTGCAAGGATGTCCTTTCCCACTTGAAAACCTCTAAGACCAGAACAGACCCGTGGCGTCATGGTGGGTGGGGTCTTAGACGCATCCCTGACCTCCACTTGACAGGGGGACTGAGCCCACCTAGAACCCAGGGACAAGACAGCAGGGGTCGGGCACTTCTGTTCCTCCTGGAGAAACTACTGCCCTCTGTGGCTTCCAGTTCAGGGCACTGTGACCCTCAACTGTACACATTCTCACTCCTGAGATGATGTCGAATACCCCTGCAGAATTCTTCAGCGGCATGCTGAACCAATGAGAAGACTTACATCCGTTTGGCTCTTGGCATATTTCAAGATTCCTTTGTCGAGGTAGAAAAATCTCTGGGGGAAGAAAGTACAATTCATTGAGATGTTCCACTGAAGCATCCCCATCCGGCTCTCAAATTTCAACTTCAAATCAAATGTTTAAGTGCCCCAGAACTGGGTGCTGAGTGGGGTAGGGGGGGTACATGTAAAGGAGAGGCCAAGGCCCATGTCTTACCTTGTGCCAGCCTTTTAAGGGCCATTTCCTCTTTTTCAGCAAAAATCCTTTCTGAACAGGCGGCTCCTGGGTGTAATTCATCTCCCCCCTCAGTCCTTCCACCACTTCCCAGCTGTCCTGTTCCAACAAAAGAGTCCATGCTAAATATCTATCTTTAAAAAAATAATGACATAAAGAAGCATTTCATACAATCAGAAAATCCATCAAAGATGAGCCTGGCTGTGTTTGTTGGGAAAAAGAAATTCGAATTTAATTTCCATACAGTCCTTGGACTTTAAAGATTTAATGTTATCATTCAGTGGCATTGAATTTGATTTTTTTTTAAGTCCTCTTTTAGAAGGGAATGTTCCTTTCTCTTTTTTGTGTTTGAACCTTGACAACCACAGCTAAAGGGAAAGATTTTACTGCAAGTTCTATTTTTGTTCACCTTGACATCAGCACACAATTACTGTTCACTCACTAGACTCCAGTCTAGATGTTAACCAAAATCTACAGGCATCAGGATGGGAAGGATCTGTGTGTGTGTGTGTGTTAGGGTTGGCTTAAGACATGGCCAAAAAGTATGAGACTGGATGCAAGTTAGCAAGCATGACAATTTGACTGAAATAATAATTTAGTTGACAATTAATTGTCTTCAAAGTTGAGTATTTAAGTAATGAAAATCTTGAAGCATCAAACAGATGATTTGGCAACAGGTGTTTTCACCCTATTTTTCCAGAAATAAATTTTTTTCTCATTTTCAAAAACTTACCTTCTTTTTTTCTCTTTGAGTCATTTGTAGTTTTGAAGAGATACAAACAGTTGTTGCAATTAATCTTCCATTATGGTTATTTAGGTAATTTCAACTAATTGAAAACAAATTTTAATTTCAAAAACACTAAGAATTCTGAAAATTTATTTTAGAATTCATAAATCATTGCTAAGTTATAAGATTAAACCAAAATCAGCAATAACACAGTTACTGAGAGTTACTTTTACAAGTATTATGTATGCTTTTTATTGGGATATAGTGTATATGAAATGTACGTATCTGAAGAGTTCAACTAGAATTTACACACACTTCCATAACTACCATCCAGATCAGCTATAAGTCTTTTCCTACCTGGCCAAGATTTCACATTGACTACCTTGCTCTGAGTCCAAGCTCCAGCCTCCAGGCAGAGGCCAGAGGTGCCAAGAGAGAGACAGTAAGCCTGGACCTGCACCAAGGAGCAAAGGTAGTTACATTCAGGTCCCAGGACACAAATGGTCTCACAGGGTGGGAATGGACATGGAGAGAAGTCCTCAGTGGCTCGATTCCACATTGCCGTCAAGCCCAATACTTTTTCTATAACAAGAATTCTTTCCTACATTAGCAACTGAGCTATTTCTCTAAGAATCCTGACAGATCTATGCACCTCCTATCTGATTGCCTTTCACTGTGAATGGAATTAAAGGTACATTCCAGAGGTGTGAAATCCACAGAGGTCTCCCAGAATATGGAGCTATGAAAGGGATTTCTTTGATGGAAAAAAAGAAAAAAACAATTCAGCTTTCAATGTAGAGAATTTTTTTTTCAGAAAGATTAGTAACTTTGAATGAGATTTCTTCATAGCAATTATTGCCAATTATTCAAAGTCACTTAATTACATCCAGACAATAGTTGGAGACAGCATATCATTAAGTGATGGGAAGCCACACTTCTTATTACATAAAAACCACAAAAATTTATGCTCACATGTATTTTAGCCAGAAAGCCATTCCTCAAAATTAAAGTGTTTTGCTTGTCTAAATGTTAATGAATCGTTAAGATTCCTAAGTTAAAAATGCTATCTCCTCCAGAGGTGGACAGAGACTCCATCAATGTGCTATCTTCCTTTCCAATGGCTCGCCATTCATTTATGATAATATATAGGTTTATCATCCCTACAGGACAAAAGGCTCCTTGAGAGTAGACGTTTATGAATGATTTCCTCATGATTTCTAACCTGCTATCCTGTGAATAGCAGGTATCTGATGGCAAGTGAATAATCATGGTCCTGGAATAAGGTTGTCAATAGATTCACACTCTTGGAATGTTATTATTTGCCATGAACTTGAAGTGAGCACATTATCTATGGGCCAAATGACTATTTACAAATTAGGTACAATGTACCCATATTTTTCACATATTGTGTGTAGTGTTGTTATTAAATGTAAATTGAAGGCTCCAAATCCTCTGTAAAGTACTCTAAGTGGATCAAGCCCTTTGGATTTGTCTGAAGACTGCTGAGCAGAAGGCAACCTGCTGAGTGCTAATACTAAGCAATCATGCACATCTGCTCAGTACCTCCCATTGGGCACAGAGCAAATGCCAAGGGGATTAGCTGTCATTGCATACTTCACAAAAAGTGGGGGGATGGATAAAATCACACCTGTAATTTAAAGGAAAACAAGAATTAAATTTCAAAATAATTTCAAAGATTCACATGAGAACTAGAATTGCCCCTGAATTCTTGAGACATAGTACATTCCTCCCAGTGAGCCAACGAAGACAGCAGGGAATTAGGGCAAATATGTTGGCCTTTAACATAAATAAGTCAAAAAAGGTTTGCTTCATTTTTTTTCCTTACAAAATGTCCTTTTTTTCCTCCTGATTTTATCTCCCACCTGGGCTCAGATCTTGAAACTGTGGCCAAGTTGGAAAAGCTAAGTTTGAAGTATTTAAGAAAGTGAAGGCTTCCCTTGGCTGGGAGAGAAAGTGCTGCAGCCAACTCCTTTCCTGGGCTCCACATCCAAATCCTCCCACCCCAGCTTGCTTGTGTGTCACCATTCTTGAATTGGTGGCTGACACCTGACAGCCAGTCCCCAACCCCCAGTGGTTCTCAGTGGGCTGGGGCTGCTCCCCTGAGCCTGTGGAATCCTGGAGTCACTTGTGTCTGTCACAGTGATGGGGAGATGTCTGGCACCTAATGGCTGTGAGCCAGGAGACAATGTAAGACATCTCAACGTGCCTCAGTCTCGCACAATGAAAACGTTGTCCCCCATCCGCCTTTCCAAGTGTTCTTAGACATTTCTGTAAGTAAAAGTCTGCTTCAAATCACTTGGGTGTAGAAGTGGACTGTTTCACACATATACCAATGTATTTTTGCAGGGTTTTTATGCACTCTGAATTCTCAGGAATGCAAGTAAGTACTGAATAAGGGAAGACAGTACATACTTTGTTTTTGTTTTTGTTTAACCTTACCAAGCTTCACCCACCATTTGTCTAAACCACATCACTGAAGGCCATGATATATATATTATTAACATGTCTGTGTTGTCTGCATTCATGGTAACTATATTCTACATGAGGGAGTATCTGACCACTTCATTAAGTTTTCTGGTATGGACATGTCCAGGCTTTTACATATGGAAAAGTATATTTTAATATTAACCACATTCTTTGAATTTTCCTTTATATTACAGAAAATCATGATGTTGAGAGTTTAAAAAATGTGTGCAAATTCCATTTGAGGAGAGTAAAGGGGCCTTTAAAATTATCACAATAAGAGGACAATGGTTAAGGGGATGATGGGATTAAAAAAGGCTGATGAACTGGCACAGATTCTGTTTACTTTTGTGGGAAAGAATACCAGGCCAGGACACAGTGTAAATGAAATCGCTTTGAAAATTGAAAGGATTTTAATATCTTCTTAAAACTAAGTCCTATTGGTTCCATCTTCAAATTTTTCTTTGAAAAAAATAAGTTACACATTATTAGAGGAAGAGAAATACCAATAGAAGGAAATACTGTAAATATTTTTTACAGTATTTGATGATCTTGGACATGGTCTTTGATGATCTCTTTCACCACTGATCCTTTGGTGATGAATGAGTGCATGTGCACACACACTAAGCTAGGTATCTTCCATTTTCTCCTCTAGAGCACCCTTCACTTCTCTGTTCTGCTGACTACATTAGTGGCCTTTCCTGTATCAGAGTTCCAGTTGATTTTGTTCAATAAGGAGCATTGGGGGTTTCAGAAGTTCAGCGAATGGTAGGCCGACTGCATAGCTCTGGTGCAAAGTGAGGTAGAACATCATGGCAGAATGGCATGGCAGAGGAAAGCTGAGCAGTTCATGATAGCCAGGAAGCACAGAGCAAAGTGTCTATTTCTGTCCCTTCTTCTGTATTCCCAACCCCAGCCCTGACCAAGGCTCTCAATTGATTTCATGGATTGATTTCCCACTTCTTCTAAAATCAACAACCCTTTATTTGCAGGCTCTATTGCTGCCTACCCTTTGTGCAATATGAAAATGAGTATGACATAGTGTTCATCCTTATTTTCACATCTGTAACTTGTTTACATTGTCTCAGACTCTGAGAATCTTCTTGAGCTTTTCCATCCAAGTAAATTCTTCAAGATTTTAGTTCTGTTTCTACCTCCTTCCATTAAATTTCTAAATTATCTAAACCACATTAGTCAGGTATTCCTGTAAATAATAGTTACTGCTGCCCATAACCAGATAATTTAGCATTTAATTAACTCATGATTTTTTTTTCCATTTGTATCCCCAGTGCTTTGTCTTTTCTTTCTAAATTATTATAGGGACCATCTTTTCAATTTGCTTAGAATCTCAGAAAAGTCTTATGCATGTAATAGGAACTTGGAGAATTCTCCTGGCTTATTACTTTTTCTTGTCTTCAACCAAGAAAATAGATTCAATTCTCAAATCAAGTAAATGGCACTAGGTAGTTAACTTACAAGTAAGTATTAAGCAGTATCTTCAATTCTGTATAGCATGTGATTTAAAACACAAAATAGTGTCTCAGGAAATACTATCCAGGGGGGGTTGCTTGAAAAAACTACATAAATAATAATAAGATAAAATTATTAGAGAAAACTTTCTAGCTCTATGAAAGCAAGAACTTTCTGTCTTCTTTACTTCCTAAAATACTGAATAGTAACTATTAATAAATATATTGAAAGAATGAAGCAATTACAATGGCTAATGCTAAGTATATATTATATGTCAGTATATTAATGTCATGTTTGGATTATCATGCTTAATCCTTGCATAATCCTTCAAGGTTAGATTTTACTATTCTTATTTTTTGAATGTGGAAACTAAGGAAAAGAATTAGATGATCTCTCCGATACAAGAAGTATACCTAGT